TTTAATACGACTGAGTGATAGAATAAATCCATTATTCTTCAAATGCAATTGTTTTAAAGGGAATTTCAATTTTTCTGAGGAATTTAATTAAAATTGAACTGAAAACAATAATTGAATTCTTTTAGAGAATTTTATCAAAATCTTTGCAAATTAATAGAATTCTTTCAAGGAATTTTATTAATAAGCAAATTACTTCATTAAACGTGAAAAAAAAGTTTATTAATCAATTAATGAAGATATATGCACGGAAAATCTTTGTTCAAGAAAGATTGCAAAATTTCTTCAGGAAATGAAGATATGGAAAAAATTCTATGACTGTTTATAAATGTTTTGTATAATAAATGAAACTTTTCTCTATTTTTACGAAACTGGAAATAAATCCTTTTTAATATTTTAGGAAAAGGTATAAATGAAATTATTTTCAGAAATAATTTCGGAGAATGTTTGAAATAATTCTATATTTCTTTCAAAAGATTTAATAGTTCTTTATAATTCTTTTGAAAGTATTCAAATTTTTTGTCATGTAGGATTTCTATTTCTGCGTTTCTGAAAATTACAAAACTGGAATAGAATCGTTTGATGCGCAGTAAGCACTACGCAAGTACATCTGTGTGAGTGGTGATTAAGACCTTAGCCTAAACTGACATAACCGGCAAACGATAATGCTTGGTTACCCAGGTGCGATTTTTTGGTCGGCCCATAGTTGGGCCAACTTTTACAAAGTCGGTCCAACTTCTCGTGCCAGAGGTTGGGCCAACCATACAGATGATAACGGCGACCGTCTAATGGCGACGATGGTTGGCCCGACAACTCATAAGGAAGTTGGCCCAACTTACAATGCATATGTTGTGCCAACTATACATTTCAATGGTTGGTCCAAAGACTGACGCCAAAGTTGGCACAACTTTAGATGCGTAAGTTGGGCCAACCACAATTTTCAAAGTTTGGCCAACTTCAACAGCCAAAGGTAAAAAATTATTAAAAAACTACATTATTTAAACAATTAACACGTTATTATTAGCGGGAACATCAGATATAACCTTTACCTATTATTATTAAACACAATCTCATACATACATTTTCGAAAATATCTATCGCTCGCTGGGATCGAACCCCTAACCTAACGCACCGAAGACTTATACACTGACCACTACGCTACGCTCACATGGGAGTGCATAACGCAAAATGTATATTAAAGCTGCAACAGTCGGGCCAACCGTGGCCCAGAGTTCGGCCGACCAAGAAAGTTTAAGTCATTTAAACTGCATTTGACAAAGTTTTGCCAACCGTTGGGCCAACCGTGGCCCAGAGTTCGGCCAACCAAGAAAAATCAAGTCAATTAAACTGCGTTTCACAAAGTTTTGCCCACCGTCGGGCCAACCGTGGCCCAGAGTTCGGCCAACCAAGAAAGTTTAAGTCAATGAAACTGCGTTTCTAGAGTTTTGCCAACCGTTGGGCCAACCGTGGCCCAGAGTTCGGACAACCAAGAAAGTTTAAGTCAATTAAACTGTGTTTCACAAAGTTTTGCCCACCGTCGGGCCAACCGTGGCCCAAAGTTCGGCCAACCAAGAAAGTTTAAGTCAATTAAACTGTGTTTCACATAGTTTTGCCAACCGTGGCCCAGAGTTCGGCCAACCAAGAAAGTTTAAGTCAATTAAACTGCGTTTCACATAGTTTTGCCAACCGTCGGGCCAACCGTGGCCCAGAGTTTGGCCAACCAAGAAAAATCAAGTCAATTAAACTGTGTTTCACATAGTTTTGCCAACCGTGGCCCAGAGTTCGGCCAACCAAGAAAGTTTAAGTCATTTAAACTGCGTTTCTAGAGTTTTGCCAACCGTTGGGCCAACCGTTGCCCAGAGTTCGGCCAACCAAGAAAAATCAAGTCAATTAAACTGCGTTTCACAGAGTTTTGCCAACCGTTGGGCCAACCGTGGCCCAGAGTTCGGCCAACCAAGAAAGTTTAAGTCATTTAAACTGCGTTTCACATAGTTTTGCCAACCGTCGGGCCAACCGTGGCCCAGAGTTCGGCCAACCAATAAAGTTTAAGTCAATTAAACTGCGTTTCACATAGTTTTGCCAACCGTCGGGCCAACCGTGGCCCAGAGTTCGGCCAACCGAAACTGAAAGTCTTTTAAACTACGTTTGGATAAGTTGTGCCAACCTTTGTCGCCAAAGTTGGCCCGACGGTTGGTTAAACTCTGCATTTAATGGTTGGCTTGCAAAGTCGGGCCAACTGTGGGCACAAGTACTTGCCAAAGTTGGGCAAACTCTGGCAACCAAAACTTTGCTTGCCAAAGTTAGGCCAACCTTGGGCCAACCTTCAAACTCTGGCGGCCAACCTAAATTCGCACCTGGGTAACGGATTATTTGAAAGTGCTAATAATGAATTGATTAAATTCATAGTATAATTCGTAAAAGTCATAATAATAGTTTTTTGAAAAATTAAATTTGAACATAAATATGTTCAGAATATTATTTTTTTATTGTTTCACTAGAGATCATGGAGCCGTTCCGAAATGAGGTAAAAAGTGTTAATTAGTTTATACTGTCAAGTTATTAGACCTATAAAATTTATGTACCTTAAAGTTAATGGTTCTTTTTTTTGAATTATTAAGTGTATATACTATTTAAGAAAATAAAATTGTTTGTCACAAATTGTTCCACTTGAATTCGTAATTTATAATAGTAAATTATTATATTTGTTAGCATTGATTTAAGGAGTAGTTTTGCATATATATTCTTTAAATATTGTAATAAATAAATTTAAATGAATAAAGCATTAAAATTTATATAAAAATATTAAAATGTATAAGTAAAATAATTACTAGCTTTTTGATTTCGTCAAAATATAGAATCTTTTCAGTTGAGAAAATTAACCTTTACTTAATTATTCCATATTACATTTATTTTAATTTAAATTAATTAAAAAAAGTTAATTTTAATAAAACCTTATTTCTTCTCACAAGTGGCTAAGAAAACGCAGGTTTAGTATATAAGAGAGACTCAAAGCAACTCGTGGTATGTTATATGCGTGCGTGCGAAAGCGAGCGTTATATGTATTCGTATATCACGGAGAGAAAAATCAAGCGTTTGTAGTAAGACATGGTCTATACTTAAAAAGCACGGCGCTGTTTATACTCGATTTGTAGAAATCTATGCTAAAAGAGTATAGGTCTCTACTAAAAGAGTATAGGTCCCTACTCTTTTAGCATAGATTTCTACAAATCGAGTATAAACAGCGCCGTGCTTTTTAAATATAGACCATGTCTTACTACAAACGCTTGATTTTTCTCTCCGTGTAGTTGTGAGATAGAGTTAGTTTTAAGTGCGTTATTATAGTGTGTGTAATCTGTGACAGAATAATATACTTTGTGTGTGTCAGTGTGTGTGCGACCCCTCCTAATCCCGTGAGTCTGCGCAGGTCTGTTCCTTCAGCGTAACTCACAGACATTTAATTTTTTTTCACGCGAGCCCGCGTACTTTTACGAAACTGTTCTTGAATTCTTATTTTGTGACGCCTGACATTGTGTGAAATCAGAAATAGAACTCTTCTTTCAGATCTTAATATTAAAATTACTGAACAATTTATCAAGACCTTCAAAATTTTTCTTTATTTTATCAGAAAAAACCATTAGTAATAATTCAATAGACACTTTAACTATTTTTCTAAATTTTTTTCCATATCCTCATTTCCTGAAGAAATTTTGTAATCTTTCTTGAACAAAGATTTTCCGTGTGTAAATTGATTAAAATTAAGTGATTTATTACTAAATTTATTAAGTATTTTTTTTTATTTTACCAATTACTTAAGTAATTATTTGTCCTATTAATTATAAATAACTATAATTGTAAGTAATTGACTAATTTATTTTTTACACGATATTTAAATTATCAACTTTTTTTTTAAATAACTTTTGAAATTTTTTTTACCTAATTATCTTATATTAATTTGCATTAATTTTTAATTAAATGAAATTTAAAGAACGGTTTTTTTCTCCCCGTGATATTATAATTTTATAAATATTATGGAGCAGTGCTTTTATCAGTCTTTTTTTTGTCGAATTCAACATTCGATTTCCATAGGAATCATTTAAAAATAAGAAAAATAATTTATGCTTATATATTTTAATTCAGACCGTTTTGATGACTCAGTTTTTTTATATAGAGTCGATTCGTGTCAATTCATGCCTTGACTAAATTATTGCTTATTTCCATTTCTCATATTAGGATCGTAAAATATTATACTTAATTTGTACAATAAAATGAGAAAAAAAAGAAAGAAAAAAAGAATTCTAAAAATAATTTTTAAAAAATAATCAATTTTTACTTTTTTACGAATGAATGTTGAATTGAACATAAAAAAAGAAAGAAATAAAGAAAAGAAAGAATGAATAAAAATTTTTATATTTAACTTCATTTGATTATTTTTAATTCATTATCTCTGTAATTATAAATTATTATTTAATTAGGTAATTATTGACTATTTAAGTATAATTATTATTAATTATTTACTTATTAATTAATAATAATTGAATAATTCATTCGATACTTAATTAATTAAATAATTAATAGTAGGTAATCAATTTAATGGTTAATAGTTAATGAAATAATTAATAATAATTAATTAAACTATTAATAAATATAATTATAAAGAACAATTTGTTTACATAAATAATTAATTAAACAATTAATAACTATAATTATACTTAACAATTTGTTTCCTAAATAATTATAATTCTATATAATTAATTATTTAGATAAACAAACTGTTGTTTATAAATTATAGTATTTAATTTTTTATTTAATGTACTATTAACTATTGAATTAATTACTATTAATTATTCAACTAATTAACTATCGAATTAATTATTATTAATTATTCAATTAATTATTAACTATTAAATGAATTATTAATTATTTCCTGATTAATAACAATTATGTATTATAATTTTTTTGCTATTCTTTAAAATTCATGTTTTTATTTTTTAGGTTTTTTTTACCTCATCCGGATTTTCGACTGATATTCCACTTTCCAAATTTGACGCGGGTGTTGTTGGCTGATAATCAGCGCAACAAATACCGAATGCTGCTTTTCCATCTGATTGAAGATAACTGCAACTATCGTAAACACCCAAAACCCATCCGTCCAGAATTCCTAAATCTGGTATCTTAAAGTACGGATAACATTCTTTGAATGTTGTGCACTTTCCCACTTCACCTTTTGATGTTAAACACTGTCCAGGGAGACTTTTTTTCTCGAGAGTGAAAAATTGTCGCTCCTCTCGTCCACGTTTATTCAAATCTGCCGCTAAAAAATTGTGAGCATTTTTTTTATTTCACCATTATTATTATTATTTATAATATTAATATTGCTAATTTATAAATAAATATTAATTTATTGTAATAAGATGTTAAGGACTTTAGTCCTTAACAACTTGTAACAAATAAATTAAATTAAAAAAAATTAATAATGTTAATATTATTAATTACTAATAATCAATAATACTAAAAAATTAAGAATATTAATAATAATAATTATTAATATAATTAATAATAATATTATTAATTTAAAAAATTATTATTATAGTAAAATAATTTATAATTATTTATGTTACTAACTTTAAACTCAAAATTTATATTCAATTTTTTAAAAATCGTCAAAATCTTTACAGAAATTATTTTTGTTTTTAAAAGTGGAAATTTTATTGTTTTATTTTACAATAATTATATTTCCAAACGTCAAATATAATTTTACCCTTCACTTTTACTAAACAATCCAAACATAAAATGAAATATTATCTTTCATATTAATTATGTCTATAAAACGAAACATTACTCAATGTTTTTCCCCTCAATATAACATTTTTTTGGAAAAAAATGTATTTTTCATTGTTGCTTCTAAAGTTTTAAATTTTCAAATGAACGACATTTATTTATTTCTTATTCATTTAAAAATTTTATTACAGTTTTACATCTTTAGATTTTTGAAGAAAAAATGTATTTTTTCATTGTTGTTTCTATAATTTTAAACTTTTAAATGAACGAAATTTATATTTATTCTTCTTCAATTTAAAATTTTATTATTTTATCAATTTACATTTTAATTAATTAAAGTTAAATTAATTAGAATTAAAATGAACTGTTAATTAAAAATTAAATAATTATAAAAATTAACTGTTAATTAAGATTAAATTAATTAAAATTAAAATTAACTCTATAATATTTTATAAATTTTATACAATTTTATAGACATAATTTTTTTTATTAGGTACAAAATTAATCATTTTTCATCACTTAACAAAAATTTTTATTTTTGTTGTTTGTTTTTTTTTATTTATTGTTTCTTTAAAATAAATTATTTTCTGTCAGTTGAAAATTAAAAAACCCACTTTTACTAATCATGTAAACTATTTACTAAATTTTTATAAAAAACATATTTTATTAGAAAAAATGAACATAATTTTTTTTATTAATTTCGTAAACAAATTCTTTTCTCATTTCTCAACTTATAGAAATTTAGACAATTGAAAATAATTTTTCAGTTTAAAAACGAAATGATGCGAAAAGAAAAACGTAAACGATCTATTGAATATCAATTTAGAGAAATAATTCAAAAAAAAAACTTGAAAATTTATTAATTCATGTGTTAAATTCAAAATTGACCGTTACAAAATTACGTCATACGCGTAATCGGAAAAAATTTTTCATTGTCTCCTCAATATCTTTACCGCAAATCGTGTAAGCGTGTAAATATGCGTCTCGTACGCAGTCGACATAATAGAATTCCACACTTGGCTTCTGTTTCTCTTTCTTTCTTTCTCTCTCTCTCTCTTTCTTTTTCTCTCTCATGAGTTCGCTGACCGACTTTTGAGTCAATCACATTTTTTTCTTAAATAATTTCTGAACCGATAAATTTTTAAACAAAAGATTTCACTTTCAAGACTAAGAGGGAGAGAAAGAAAGAGAGAGAGAGAGAAAAAAGGGGGGAGGTAAAAAACTCACCATCGATAATAATCGAATCTTCCGACTCGTCGACTCCACTTGCTTTAGTATCAATGCAAAATGTCACCAGCAAAAGAGCCGCGATTGTCACCGGAATTGACCGATGAAACATGACCTTGACTTCGTTATAAAAAAATGACTTGGTTAAAAAACCAATTCAAAAAAACGATTTTTTTCTTTACACCGTTATTTTTTATTCTTCAACACTTAAGGAGAGTAGTCACTGTCATTTATTTACATTTGAAGCTGAAGAAATGTGAATGTAAAAAAATGTATTTTTTTTGTGAAGTATTCTTTTATTGAAAAAAAGGTTTTTTTTAGAAAAAAGTTTTTTAAAAAAGTGTAAAAAAATGTTTATTGTGTATACTAAAGTCGATGGCAACGTGATGTTGTCTCGAAGGCCAGCACTAAGTTGCTAATCCACTGAATAGCGAAGACTTGGGCTTATAACGGGCTTGCCCTCCCCTGACCACCTATTTGCCCCCGAGCACTTTTATCGAGACTCTTCTTTTACACTTTTTTGCATTATTTACTAACTTTCCTTTATTTTTGCCCGATTTTTCTTTTTTTTAGTGAAAATTTTCACTTTTTATGTTTTTTTTTAAAAATTGTTCGGCAATGTGAATTTTTTAGACCATTTTTTTAAGAGGATTTTTTAAAGTCATTTTTTAGATAGGAAACTAATTATTTTTGTGATCCACAATAATTTTTAGTTCTTTTTGTAAATGCAATTTTTTATAAATTTTTTACTCTTGTAACCGCGAAAAAAATTCTTTACCAAAAATGATATTTCGTTGAAAAATGTCCTATCAATTGTATATTAAAAAAGAATAAAGAATAAAATTCGAAATATTTTTTGAACTAGAACGCGCTACCAAAGAAGGTATCTAAGAAGCAGGGAAATTATAGGTTATGTTTGCGTTAGATTCATCTTGATTAATAGTTCCTTTTTAATTATAAAAATTTGAAACCAGTTGAATATTTCAGATGTGATAAAGACTTGTAAAGAGGATCAACTATTAGTAAAAATTATTATTTCTAGTAGTAATTGATACTCTTTGTATTTTCATTCAAAAAATTGTAAACATAACCTAAAAATTTTTCCTTCTTAAATTATATCTTCCTTCGAAGCGCGTCACATTTTTATTTAACTATAAACGAAATTTTTGTCCCGTTAAATTCCATTATTAATTACTCCTCTCTTGAAGTGAGCTTGAATATTCAATGAGCTAAAAATTATTCATTTCTTCCCTGTCATATCAACGGATTAATCAATCAGCTCGATGATTATCTACCGAAGAGATATGTGGATGAACTCTTGTATATATATTGGTGGGATGGTTTAAACGCTCGCAAAAATGCTAATTCAGTGAGACCCAATTGATTTTATAATGAGAATAATATTTGGAAATTTCTTACAAAATACGTACTTTGTCTAGATATATCTGCTGGGAGAAATATATAGCCTTGAGGGACCTCAGCTTGATTCAGAATGGCCATGAACTTGCTTTTCTGCCCTCTCCCTCAAGTTGTCTTGCAAGAATGCAATTCTACAGGTGCCAAGAATTGGTTTTTCATATTATGGGGTATTAGACATGTTTATAGTGAGTATTTCAAGTTTAGTAATTATTTTATAATCATTTGTTATGCAGTGTTTTCCTTAGTTTAATTATGTGTGTTATATAATTAGGTTATATACACTATAATGTGTACTTAATTGTATACTATATTATACACTGTATTGGATACTTAATTGTATACTATATTATATACTATATTATATAATAAATTATATGCTTAATTATTGGCTTAATTGTATACTATCCCTACTGGAAGTAAAAAGATAGAAAGAGATAGAATTTTGGGGATAGAAAGAGATAAAGTTTTTTCTATCCCTTTAAAATAGCCACTTTGCATACCCGAAATATTATACCCTTTTATCTCCAAATTTCTATCTCTTTTTATACCCTATTATCCCCTATCTATCTCTTTTTATACCTATGTACTATTATCTCTTTTTATTTCTCTTTTCTTCAAATTTTTATCCTTTTTAATATATAAAGAATTAATTAACCAATATTATTAACAATATTAAAGACTTTATGAAGTATTGCAATTTCAATTGAATTCATTATTTTAAAACAATATTTTTGAGTTTTCGTACTTCTATTTATAACCTATTTTTAACTATTCAAGTTATTTATTTATTTGTTATGAGATTATTATTTATTGTTTAAATCTATATTTCATTTCACATTATTAACTAACATTGTACATATATCACTTAAAACCAAATTTGAAAAATCTCGCACGCAGGAGGGCTCGAACCCTGAACCTTAGGGACGCAAGTCGAATACACATGTCACTTAGCCACGCTAGCTTGGAAGATATTTTTCTTGAACTACCTTTTAAATTTTGGGATTGTATTGATCTCTTTTTATCTCTTACTCTATCACTCTTTATCTCTTAGTTGATCTCCTTTTTAAAGTTTTAATTTTTTTTAATTTCTCTTTATTTATCATGAAATCGTCACGTAGCTAATTCAATGTATAGGAAGGAAACATACTGCAGTCTATATTGCAACCAATTGCAATTGAGTTAAAGGAATAATAGTGATAAGTATTGTATGTACTGATATGTAATTGGTATTAGAAAGCAAAGGAAGAGAATAGTATAAGGGCTAAAAGGAGCATAATAAATGTCATAACAAAATTATTGAGATAAAAGAAGAAAAGGCCTTTTTCAATCGAATTGGAAAGAAATAGACTGATATAGAATCGAGCGGATAAAAAGAAAAAAGTATGGCATTAGAATAAAGTTAGTATAAAAAGAAAAGAAAGTGAATAGTAAAAGAATTAATAGAGATAAAGTAACCCGGTAAGAAGCGTAGAATAGAAAAGAATTCAATTTCCAGAAAATATGCTTGAAAACGAGAATTTTGAATTATTATTCTGAAGACGCGAATTTACCTCGAAGCTCTATTCCACGGGAACCATCAAAATTTTAGAAAAATCAATTCTTCTCTATTGCTCTCGTCGATCGGGAGATAGAAAAGAATTCAAATTTTCTATTTTTCCTAATGCGCAAAGTTTTATGGTATTGCAAGTTCTTGAAAAAAATATGAAGTTCTATTCTTTTGAATTGACTGCTAACGATTCTAGGTAGTCAATTTAAAAGAATAGAATGTTCGACGAGAGTAAATATGAAATGTTTATTCTTCTCAATAGACTTCTTCGAATTTCAAAAGCGCATTAAAAGGAATACAACTTTTGACAAACAATTTGGAAAAGCCTAATCTTTCCAATTGTCTGTATAGGAGCTCCTACAAGTATGGACTGAGATTTAAATAGGGATAGAAAGGGAAAGAAGTGAATAGTAAGAGGATAAAAGGCGATAAAGTAAGGGTTATTAAAAGAGATTGAATAAAAAGGGAAGATAGAAAGAAATTAAGGTGAATGAAAAAGGGATAGCTTGGGATAGAAACAAGATTATTAAAAGAGATAAGTATATTCTTAGATGAAATTAGAGATAGGTGTGGATATTGAAAGTATTAAAAGAGATGAAATAAAGGTTATTGAAAAAGATTTATACAGAAGGAGAGATAAAAAGTGATTGAAGTGATAAAGTGGGGATAGACTAAGATAGAGAAACTTTATCTCTTTCTATCTCAGAGATAAAAAAATATTCAAAGAGATAGGATTTCTATCCCTTTACTTCCAGCAGGGATATTACATACTAGATTATACACTATGTTTTATGTACTATACTATATTGAGATTGGCTAAACTTCCATAATCCATACGCCATCTGGTGGTTACCTACTTCTTACTTCAATTTTTTTTCTCTATCTTTCTGTAAAGACCAACGCAGAATATGAGATAGAAAAAGATACAAATATATTTCTGTCCTTTTCCAACTCATGCTTTGCGTAAAGCAGTTGTTCTTAGGCCATAATTAGTACAATAGAAAGAGAAAAAAAACAAAATGGAGGACAGAAGTAAGTAAAAGTACTAGATTATCACTAGATAGCCAATCCCAATACATAATTACCCAATAGTCTACCATTGGCGCATTAATGGCCTAATAATGGGAGCCACCATTCCATTATTGTCCCATTATTGGCACCCAATAATGGACCACTAATGGTAAAATCGTGGGATGTCCACGCCGATGCCAACAATTGGCAACCATTATTGGCACATTATTGGCTGCCATCAAAAAACCAATAATAAAAAAAAATTTTTTATTAAATTTTATTAAACAATAAATTTATTTATTTAATAATAATAATTATTATTATTATTTATTATTATTGAAAATATTAATTTTTTTAATCAATTATTTTATAGAAATGGTTATTATTTTCTATCATATCGAAATGTGAATAACCCTTCCGTTCAGAGTCTAAAAATTATTTACCTCACATTCATCAGTGCAAAAATAGGAGAGGACGGGCAGAATAAAATTCCACAAATATTCGTGAGAATGCTGTCTCCTTATATACTTTTCAAGTTTCATGTTAGTTGCGAGAGAGTTTGATGCAACACCTCCTACGGAGCGTTGAGCGAACTACATACAATTACTTACCGACGCTGCAGAAATTATCATGTAGTAAGTATGTAGTTCGCTCAACGCCCCATAGGAGGTGTTTCTTAAAACTCTCTCGGAACTAACATGAAACTTGAAAAGTATATAAGGAGGCAGCATTCTCACGAATATTTGTGGAATTTTATTCTGTTCGTCCTCTCCTATTTTTGCACTGATGAATGTGAGGTAAATAATTTTTAGACTCTGAACGAAAGGGTTATTCACATTTCGATGTGATAAAAAATAATAACCATTTCTATAAAATAATAAATTAAAAAAATTAATATTTTTAATAATAATAAATAATAATAATAAATAAAATAATTATTAAATAAATAAATTTATTATTTAATAAAATTTAATAAAAAAATTTTTTTTTATTATTGGTTTTTTAATAACAGCCAATAATGTGCCAATAATGGTTGCCAATTATTGGCATCGGCGTGGACATCCCACGATTTTTCCATTAGTGGTCCATTATTGGGTGCCAATAATGGGACAATAATGGAATGGTGGCTCCCATTATTGGGCCATTAATGCGCCAATGGTTTTTTTCCCATTGGGTATATGTGACGCGCTCTGAAGAAAGGTACCTAAGAAGCAAACAATTTTAGGTTATTGAAGGAAGTGAATTTATCATTCGGTGATTAAATATTAAATTTGAAGAAGTTAACAATTTTCCCGAATCAATCTACACAAATAAATTAAATATCTTAAATAAATCTCGATAAGCTCATGGGCTTCAATGTATCGACAGCACAGCTGCCCTAATTCAGAAACCTGCTTAATTTGAAAAATATTTTCGAAATGAATTAATAATTTCAAAATT